TAAGTGGCACTCTCGTTTAGTCCTATTTAGGATAATTACTTGTTAAAATACCTTATCAGTGGCTCTCCATGGTATCGGCATCATGAACAACAACATTAGATTGATGTCAAACAAGGACAATTAAAATAAGGAAGGAAAGACGGTTCTTTATCTGGTGTTTGAATATATGGATATGGACCTGAAGACGGTTCTTTACCAGCTTTACAAAGGAATGGCTTTCTGCCATGGCCATGGTGTTTTGCACAGAGATTTGAAGCCCCACAATCTTCTGATGGACTGCAAGACATCAATGCTTAAAATTGCTGATCTGGGGCTTGCCCGAGCATTCACTTTGCCTATGAAGAAGTACACTCATGAGATATTGACCCTCTGGTATAGAGCTCCTGAGGTTCTTCTGGGTGCCACTCACTATGCAACAGCAGTTGATATGTGGTCTGTTGGTTGCATATTCGCTGAGCTAATCACTCAACATGCTCTCTTTCCTGGAGATTCTAAGTTGCAGCAGCTACTGCACATTTTCAGATTGCTGGGTACACCAAATGAAGAAGTATGGCCAGGGGTGAGCAAGTTGGTGAACTGGCATGAATACCCCCATTGGAAACCCCAACCACTTTCATCTGTTGTCCTAATCAAGATGGCCTTAACCTTCTGGCGGAGATGCTGCATTATGAACCATCAACAAGAATTTCATCAAAGAAAGCTATATATGGAGCATCGTTATTTTGATGATCTTGACAACAAGTCGAGTCTGTAGCCTGTAGGGGGTGAGCAAATAACTGACAAAACCGATAAAACCGAAAACCGATATCCGAACCGACCGAAAAAGTCGGTTATCGGTCGGTCATCGGTTATTACATATTAAAAGAAGTCGGTTATTCGGTTAACGGTCGGTTATTATAATCGGTTATCGGTCGGTTAACCGAAAATCGAAGTATAGTCTACACCGTATAAACATTTGCATGTACTTCATGTATGCTATGATGTTTCACTTAATAACATATCATAAATACTCTAAGAAATAATGTCAAATATATGACCAAATTGAATTTTATGGATACATATACGGAGTATGCCTTTTCATACTTTAATAACTAATTGTAATTTTAATGTGCATAATTGTGTTCAATTTTATACTCCCTCCGTCCCACTATGATTGTCTCATTTTACTTTTTCGGTCTGTCCCACTAAGATTGTCTCATACCTTATTTGGTAAAGTTTGTGTGGTTCTAAATCATTTCTACTTTATTCTTACTTTATCAATTCAATATCAACCACATAAACCCACTTTTATTAATAACCGTGCCACCTTTTCTTGTCCCAAACTTAGGGGGACGGAGGTAGTATTATACTCCGTAGTAATCATGAATGGTATACTCATGTTAACTTTAGTCATATTTAAGTTTACTTTATTATGTAGTACGATAGTAATATTTAAGGATATCCCTCGTGTTGTAATAAATTTCATGTATTTAGGATGTTTTTAATTACTTGGACAGTAATTTGTTGGTCTGATCTGGTTTCTTTGTATTCTATAAATATTCATGTCTGATCTGGGACAAATTACAGTTCAAGTAAAAACATCCTTAGTATTTAGTGGTTGACCCAAAAAGATAAAATGACACTCATGCACAAGTAAAGCTACCAGCAGCGTAAGAAAACTAATTTTATTATTAGATAATTTAATTCATTTTTTCTTATTTATTTCATGAATGGATAAAAAGCATTTATATGTGAGCAATTATTTCATTCATTTGGTTTTGTAGTGTAAAAATATCAATTATTTTCATCCAACTTTGTATCAAATATTTTTTCTAATATGTTTATTTAAAGCATTCAAAATTTTCAAAAAAATATGCTTAAAAAATTTATATGGTCGGTTATTGTCGGTTATTCGGTTATCGACCGAAATCAAACTACATTTTCCGGTCGATTATAATGATGTTATCAGTCGGTTTTCGGTCGGTTATTAGAGTGAAAAAGCTTGGTCAGTTATTCGGTTATGGACCCGATGATGACCCCTACTTAGGGGTGCAAATGAGCCGAGCCGCTCGTGAGCCGCTCGTGAGCCGCTCGGTCAAAGCTCGGATCGAGATCGGTCAAACTCGAGCTCGAGCCGAGCTCGAGCCGGCTCGTTAAGCAGTCGAGCCATAAACGAGCCTACTGATTTTAGGCTCGCTAGCTCGCGAGCCGGCTCGCGAGCCTAGTTATATGTGTATTTAATTAATATATGTAATATATTAATATACTATACAAATTAATATATAATACGGAGTATATATTAGTATATGTAATATACGAAGTATAATATAAATTATTTTTTTTATAAGTTAATATATATATATATATATATATATGTATATATATATATATATATATAATACTGATTCATAAATGTATATGAACACCTGGGAGATATTATTAATTATAAAGTAATTTAACAAAAATAATCAAAATTTCATCCACTATTTCTTAATGAGTTGACCACTTTTGATTTATATTAGAACTTAGAAGTACAATTGGGTAGAGACTTGAAGTTAGAATTATATTTTGTTTATTTTCCCGTAAGGTTTAGTTGTTGGGCATGTAAATTGCAATTTGCAAATGTTAAGCACAAATATTTAAAGATTGTTTCATACTTGAGCTCGAGTTCGAACACGAACTTTCGAGCTAATCGAACTTGTAACTTTTGAACGAACCAAAAGTATCTAGCCGAACCGAGCCGAGTCGAGCCAAATCGAGTCAAATCAATATTTGCGAGCCGAGCTCGAGCCCAGATATTTTAAGCTCGTTCGAGCCGAGCTCGAGCTCGAGCCAATACAATATAATTCGAGCTCGAGCTCGAGCCTACATAAACTCGGGCTCGGCTCGGCTCGTTTGCACCCCTACCCCTACTCTTTGAGGCAAATTTCAATTTGTCATCAAACATCTTGAACTTTGAAGCGCGTCTGCTTGACGGCCTTTAAATTTAGACCACCTGCATTATTAACTCTTTTTATATGTAATGATAATGATAAAAGAAGGTTATTGGTTAGAGCATCTCCAATGGTAAAATGTGCACGGTGCACACGTGGCATGAGAAATAGCCACATAAATATTAATAAATAAATTCTTTCTCTCCTTATTTGAATGATTTTATACAGTTTTGGTAAGTTTTTCTCTACAATGTCAAGGAGACCGTCTAGATGTTGACATTGTTGTTGACATTGCAGGGAAAAACTTACCAAAATTGTATAAAATCATTCAAATAAAGAGAGTAATAATTTATTTGCTAATATTTATGTGGCTATCACTCATGCCACATGTGCACCGTGCACATTATAGCATTGGAGATGCTCTTATTCAAGGGGCATCAAGAAAGAACTGAAATGGTGAAGGCTTGGGATTTGTGAAGTGAGCATTTATTTGACACATTTCCTTCTCCAATAAAAAAAAATACTTGCACTAACTTCCAATATTACAAGATAAATTGTATTCAAGAAATTTACAAACATTTTTGCCTTATCCCAATTTTCCTTTGTTGGTGGGCCAACTCTCCCTTTTCTCACCACTTCTTCCCCATCTTCGTTGATAATCCCCCCCCCCCCTCCCTCCCCAAAGAATAGTATATATTGGACTAATCATATTCATACATTCTTTCAAAAGCATTTTTAAAATTCAAACAAGAATCAAGTATCATGTCATTTGTCATTCATGTGTGTGCTATTTCACCCAGTGATCCATAACAATTAGTTCCCTACTATCCAACTCCTCATTCTCCAAATATTTTGTTTGAAGTAACTCAATAAGTGACCTCCGTGGACTTATCTTTCAAAGATCACAACATTTCTATGAGTCACCAGACACATATCTAATTTTTCAACCCATCTTCCATAACCAAGTTTAAAATACGAGTGATACATCTCACATGCATAAAACTTCCCATTCTATCGATCAATGGTTGGTTGACCCCCTTTAGCGTTGAAAACGATTTTTGATAAATAGTTGTTCGCTCCTAGCGTTTTTGGATGAAATCGCTAAAATGGAAACGCTACAAATAGGAGAGAGATTTGGATTAAGTTTTGAAATATGACGTTTTCTACTTATTGCATGTTATGACCAAACAGCTAAACTTACATTTTTGAATGACAGATTCAGCGGCTACTTTATTAGCATATTTGCATCATCTAAAAATATTATAATTATGAATATGGGTTATTATCCCTAATTTGTGTCAATTTTTTATGCATAAAGGCTTGTACATTCACCGCGTAAGGGGCAAAGAAAGCAGAAAAACACCTAAAGAAATCGAAAAACATCACAATAAGGGGCAAAGAAAGCAGAAAAAAGGATTGACAACGAGAGAGTAATTACCAGAACACAGTTCAGCGAGAAACGGAGAACCGGAAAGGAAAGATATCTGTACGGTTGGCACCACAAGCGGGAACAATGGGCAGGTCGGCAACGTTAGGGCGCGGAGTCGCGGACGGGCCAGCTGTGTGACCGCAAGTTTAAGGAAACGGAAGGTGTTACGATGATAACGGAGGCAGATGGATTGGAGAGGGCAATTGGACGGAAATAAAACGGATAATTCTATTTCTTTTAACAGAGTACATATGGTAAAACACATGGTATCATCTCATTAAGCTAAAAGATTACACCAACATTTTTTTCATCCCTAAAATACCCTAACCCTCATTGACAATTATAAGATTTTAAGATTAAGAAACTACATCTTTGTAATTTATACTTAGTGCTTTATGAAATACTCCATAATTATATATTCATGATTAAAATAAAAATTATATATAAAAATGTGACTAGGGTAGAGAGTATTAATGTAATCATGGTAATTTATGTTAAAATTTTAAACTTAATTTATGATGACACTACATTGCAATAACTATTACTCATATTTATATAAATAATTTTTATTTTGATAATATTTTTGAAAAAAAAAACTACTCCCTACTTTATACACAAAGGTCCATAAGTGAAGGATCGGCCAGAATTTACCAAACGTAAAAACACGTCCAAAACAAACACCAGCTTCATTCTTCCAAATAAAAAATCAAAAGCTCTAAATTCTTTCGCTGGGTTGTAACCTGCAAACAAAGTGTTTGGCTAAACGCCCTTTATTTACTGTGTGTACCTTTTCCACTGCAAACAAAGGTTAGAATACACCTATTTTCTGGTAATATTCCATTCATGGCTAGATTCTATGCGTTTAGGTTTCCTCTTTCTGAAACAGATATTCATGTTTTTTGGGTGAAGGGTAGGTGTTATTAAGTGGTTTATGTAGGTTAAGAATGTCCAAAAACTCCAAAAGTGCTATTTCAGACTGCTGGAAATTAGAATTAGACTTAGATAAATATCATCTTTAAGAAAAAGAGTTGGCCTACATTCTATTCATTTAGCGTTTCACTCTCTGCAAATAATTCACTTCTACAATAAGCCTTCTAATAAGTTGAAAAGATCTGTAAAATGTGAATTCTACTACTTCAATATTTAATTTTGCATTTAAGTATTCTTTAAAATACAAAATTTTCGGATTGACATGGGAAGAACTTATCACACATCTGTTTTCTAAACTGTGAAATAAACACACCTTCACACTCAGGGGAGAAAGCTAGCGACCAATTATAGTTAGGGGATGTGGAAATTAGATTCAAAACTTCTTCATCTTCGTAATTTTGTCACTTTAAACACATTTGCTATTGTTAATAAAAAGTCTGTTTCGTTCTTTGCAATTTTGCTGCTATTAGGATGTTTTCTTTTGGACTGAAATTTGCTGGTCTGGTCTGGTCTGATTAAGTCTGGTCTGGTCTGAACTCTGAACTGGTCTGGTCTGGTCTGGTAAACGTCTGGTCTCTGTGTATTTTATAACTATCCAAGTCTGGTCTGGTCTGTTTAAGTCTAGTCTGGTCTGGTCTGGGACAGAAAACAGTCCAAAAGAAAACATCCTTAATCGTTGTAGACTTAGAAATTTGCAACTTTGTTGTTTCAATTTTCTTGTTGTCGCTATTTCGTATTTTGCATTTTTTAGGTCTAGTAATATATTTCATGGAACTTCAGGCACTGAGTCACACATTACAGGTTACAAGTTTACAACTTGTTAATACGTTGTATATATTAGGTGGAGTTAATACGTTGTATATATTAGGTGGAGTAAATTTCTTTCACACATTTTTTATTTGTTGTATATTTTTCTTATGTTAACTAATTTAATTATTATGTTTTAATTGGATTGATTATAAATTACTATTAGCTACCAATTTAAGTAACTATATATAGCCGTTAAGGTAATTCTGATTGCTCTGTGTTACTTTGTGAAGTTTTCTTTGACCACCATCACACCATGTATCAAAATCATCAAGATTTTTTTTGGTGAAGATCGTGACACCTCACTTAAAGCTCATGACTTGCAGGTATTCATAACGCCAAGGGATGGAGTTCACAACTTGTCTTAAATCCAACTTTAACCAACTATCAACTTTTCTACACCAACCGATTAATCGCCAGAACACTCACTATCGCCGTTTTTTAGCTTCGCTCTACACTATGACTGCTAAATCTATGCACTGCAGAGCCACTGCCGAAATGCAAAGCAAGAGCGGCTCATTTGGAACCATCGAAAAGGTAGTACCTCTAATAATCGTACCCAACATGTACTCTGATTTTTTTTGAGTACTCGACCTTAATATTACAGAAGTTAAATATACGTTTTTTTTCATCTTATTTATATTATTTTGATAAATGTCACCATTTTACTTGCTCAATTGTAAATTTACTACTTGAACACTTCTGTAAATTAGGGAATATGAATATGATGTGCAGGTGAAATTTTTATTTAAGACATGCTCGTATAGAGCAACGTTAAAATCACCCTCAAATTGATGAAGCTATCTACTTTCAGCACTTAATATAGTTGCTTCAAAAAGTGTTCTTTTTTTAACCAGGTCAAACCAATCTCTGGTGATCATTCCTCTGATCTGGCATTATCAAGTTTAGCAGCTCTATGCCCATTAGATGGCCGCTATTGGGATAAAGTTAAGGATCTGGTTCCATTCATGAGCGAGTATGGCCTCATTCGCTTTCGAGTCCTAGTTGAGGTGTTCCACACTT